TTGTTTAAAACTTTTTTCATAAAACCTAATATTTTTCACAAACCTTTGATTTTTTTATAATAAACTTGAATAATTAATTTTAGGTTTTTTTAATTTAATTTTAGGTTTTAAATTAATTTTTGGTTCAACAACCACCCATGACATTTGCATTATTTTTATTTTCTAACCCTATTTTTCATTGATGTTTCTTCCCCTATCTATTTTTTGGCAAACTTAATTCTTTCTTATTAATCATTACACATAAACATTTTTTTCAAAATTAAATTTTTTTAATTAAAATTAATTTAGGTTTTAAGTTTTTTTTATTATTATTAACTCTTTTTTTATTAACTCTTTAATTTGATTAATTAACCTTTTTTTTAATAAATTAGGATTAAGTTTTTGTTTTAGTTAGTAACTGAATTTTTGGGTTTTTTTCATTTATTAATAAATTAAGTTAATTAACTTTTTTTTATTAAAATTAGTTAGAATTAGGTTTTTTAATTAACTTAAAATTACTTTCTACAAAAAAACACCAAAAACATTAACTTAGAATTTTAGGTTTTAATTTTTCCTTAATTTCTTTTTATTTATTCTTTTTCATTTTAATTTCTAGGAAAATTGTATAGGTCGCATTATCAATGTAATAGCGTAGATTTATCTTTTGTCGCATTTTTTTCTAATTATGTAATTGCTCTGAGTTTGTAATAGTAATTAGGATTTCAATTCCGCATCTTTATTTTCAATCCAAAAATAATTATGTATCTGCAAAAGCCCTATAATAGCTAAAACTTTAATTTCTCGCATTTTAAATTCCGGAAACTATAAACTGCTTAGATGTATGTTAATAGGATTGCATGGAAAGACAAACTAAAAATTAAAATAGTAGATCACCTTAATTGTGCAAAGATTAAATAACTGAACTGGATCACTTTTGCACACTTACACCCCTAGGGTACTCTCCACTTGGTTGCCTCGAAAAACAATGGTCATGTCCCTCGAACGTAGGGATATCTTAGCAAAAGATCCTCAATCTAAAAGTCATCATAAAGATCATAGTCCCTTAATGTCCCTCGAGTTGCCTACAAGAAATGATCTTGTCCCTCGATGTTGCCTACGAATATAGACAGTCCCTTCGAAATACTAAGGTATCTTTACATGTTGCCTTCAATGACCATTACGTCCCTTTCGAATTGACCTTTACAAATTCCAACGAAGGTTCTACCTATTTCTCAATAGTAGGATAGCGTTGTCTAAAAGAAACAAGAATAGAAATGATCTTTTTTCGAGTAGGTAGATGCTAATAGGTACTTACTCAAATCAAAACTTTTCACACTTACACTTTTCAAACAAATTTTTCAAAACAACTTCATCACACCTTTGAGGACTGATACAAGGGTTATCACGAAGTCAAACTTTTCAAAAACAAAACACACATACAAGAAATTTTAAAAAGATGAGCAAGTACCTACGAGCCCATGAAAAACCATAGATAGAAAGGGTGCTAACACCTTCCTTTCTATAATCTACCCCCCGTACTCAGAAACATCTCGAAAAAGGTTTTTTCTGTTCTTTTTCCTTTTCCCTTGTTGGATAAAATAAAAGTCGGTGGCGACTCTTGCTTACCACGACATTTTGCGAACAAAAAACGCAAACCAGTATTAACATTCGGTTCTGCCACCGTATCACACCAATACTTGACATTATGAGTCAATATAGAATTCTCATTCTTTGGATTGAAACCAAGCAAGCAAAGATACTAGACCTCTTGTGAGAACCAAACTTCAAAGTGTATTAAGTCTTCATAAAAATTAGGCAGAGTAACGGATGTATACGGGTGAATTCCATATTATAAAAAAAGAATGTAATCATAATAACCTGCACACAAAACAAACAACCCACCCAATGTCTTAAGGTAAACCTCAAGAACTCCAGACAAAATATCAATTAAGGTCACAAGGTCTCCAACATAGGCCGAGGTTTCTAATCCTAAGTCCAAGAAGCTTAATACTCCATAATGCCAAGGATAGTAACCAAATAGTCCAAGTATCATTAAATTTTTTTATGGTTCATGTTGATTATTAGGTGTCTTAGAAGAGAAAATAAAAGGCTCAAGTGAGCGAAATAAAAATGACATGAAATGTAATGCTTAAAGTAAATGGTACATAAAACATAAAAAATAAAAGGGCATAAAGTAAAAACAATTTAATAATTAGTGGTTAGTTGGATGACCATCTTGAAACTTGCATTTGGAACTTATTAGAGGATTGGTAGAACCAAAGCCTCCACACAACAAGTTGCATTTTCTTTTTGTCAAGTATATCATCCATTTGGAATCCTCAAAATTACCTATTTAATGATCAACGATGTTTAAGTGATCCGCATTGACCAAAAGTGTTATAGATCCATTAGAGGATTGGTAGAACCAAAGCCTCCACATAATGAATCTCATGGTTGTTGGATCAAAGAGATCAAATTAACATACTTGGGCTTGTAAACATAGGTTTGGGCCACGAATGATCATTTATTCAAATCGAGATAAAATTCAGCGCTATGTTAAGCAATCGTAAATGGACTTATATAGAAGTCGCACCTATTTTGAGGTCGATCAATAGCAATCTATGTACCATTTGTTTTGAAACATGATATAGAGATCATGCTCCAATAATACTTAGTGCAATGAGAAAGGGACAAGATGAAGAAGGGTGTGACAGAATATACAAACCACATTTGAATTAAATTTAAATCAAACTATTATTAAAATCATTCATCCATTTTTGTGGAGTTAGACTCAACACCATGGATCCAATGATGTTAACAAAGTTCATGACCAAAAATTCAATCCAAGATTAGCAAGAAAACAATCACAAAATAATATTGTATTTAATATATACATTAAAAAAGGTTTTAAAAATGTTTTAAAATAGAAATAAAAGAGAAAAATATCAACTATATTCAAATTAATCAAGAAATAAAAAGTAAGACCATAGAAAAATCAGAAATGAACTAAAATGATTTTATAAAATTTTTGGTAATTTTTTAAAGTCAGAAACTATTTTTAAAATTAAAAGAAATGAGTAAAATAAACCAAAAATGATTAAAAAAATAACAAAGTCAGAAATAAAAAATAAATGAGGTCACCAATATTTGTCACAATATCATTGGATCATTCCATAATTTTTCTAAAATTTAAAAATGCATAAAAGTATTTTTAAACATTTAAAACAATTCAAATAAAGTGGAAATTTATAAAAAATATCAAAACACAAAATAAAATTGTGAAAAAATAAAAATCAGAAAGAGAAAAATCAAAAATATTTTTCATAAACTGAGGCATCTCCCAGCAGTTCACTTTATCATCTCCCTCAATAGGTTCCTAGCAAGTAAGAAAGTATGATCATTTCCCCAACATACAATGGAAACTCCCTCAACAGAGTCTATGAAATTCAAATTCCCATAAAAAATTATTTTCTCAGCATACTTTATAGGTTTATTTCCCCAACAAGGTTTATTTCTCTAACAGGGTTTATTTCCCAAATCGAGGTTATTTCTCCAATTCTTGCAGTTCCCCGACATGATTCTCTTCTCAGGCCAGATGTCATTCAACTTTTTCCTCCCTAGAAGAGTTGACGTCCATATCTAAAACTTGTTCAGACAACACCTCAGAAGGTTATCCATCTCTTTTATCCTCAGTTAGGATATATAAGAACTAAATCCTCTAAGAGAACGATGAACCAATGTTCCTGAATTCTTCTATCCTCAAGAGGAAGTCGAACGTCCATAGCAGAATATCCTCAAACATAAAGCAGGAATCCCCAACGAAGATATTTCAAACAAGATTTAAGATTCATATTCTTCATTTCCAACAACAATCAGGGATTTATTTTCCCCAGCCAAAGATGTTAGGAAAGGCTACCGTTGTGTTGCGACTGGTTTTTAAATCAGAGTCGTCACTATTAGTTTTTATCCTAGGAAAGGAAATCTAACAAAAAACCCTAATTCACAGACATAAATTCTAGGTTTCAGACTTCTTTAGACGAAAGGAAGGTGTTAGGCACCTTTCATCTACCTTGTTCACAAGGATACTAGGTTTTAGATTTGAGTTGGGGAAACATGATTTAAATTTTATTAGGGGAAGGGTTTAAATTTTTATAGGGGAAAGGGTTTAAATTTTCATAGGGGAAAGTGTTTTAATTTTTAATAGGGGAAAGGGTTTTAATTTTTAATATGGGAAAGAGTTTGTTTTTTTTATAGGAGAACTCGCTACGATTTTTGATCGAATGCCTACGTATCCTCTTATGAGGAATCAGAGTCTCAATTCGTAGTTCGTATGGGTTGGTGTTTTTTATAAGATTGCGTAGAATTGCTTTCGAATTAACCTTGAACCTTGTCTGGGTTGTAAGTTGAGTGATTGTAGACGCAGTTTGTAGTTTGATTCAAAGACGATGCTATTTAATCTTTTTTTTTGAAAAAATGATCTTGGATTTTGATTATGTTAGATGAAATATGTTTGATCGTTGGTTAGCTGTTTTAATATTTGATTTGATTAAGACGTGGGGGGGGGGGGGGGGGGGGAGAGGCTGATATAGCCTCCTCCTCATGTGTCTAGATCTCGTCCAGTGTTACTCATCATGAAGGATGCGGAGGAAGTCTGATATAGTCTTCCTCACCACGTGTCCAGATATTGGTCACGAATCGCTTACGGATGAAATATTTGAAATTGCATGGATTTCAATTGTTTGATTTAGCATAATAAACCGGTAAACGATGTGTCAACCGATCTAATTACTCGAAGATGGATGTCCTAGAATGTTCTAATTAATTAAAGCCAGTATTTTCTCATTCTTATTGTTTTATAGATAGCGAATAATTATTCTAAATTAATTAATTGAAACATATTTAATTAATTAATCTAAACAATAAAATCTATAATAATTAAGCTAGAGAGGTATGTTGAACTAGGAGTAAGAGGTTTAATAAAGGTATAGACTAAAGATGGCCTAAGGGCCCAAAAGCCCAGGTTAACATAATATAAACCCCAATTTAATTAAAAAAATAGAAAAGACCAACCACATATGAAAAACAGAGAGGTATTTTTCTCCCTCAGTCTTGCAATTCCTTTTCTTCATCTCTTTCGTGTGACAACAGCTCAAACAGCTTCCCTTCTTCTGCCATAAAGAATTGCCAGTGGGAGTAACTTCGTGATAGTGACTGTTGGAGAGCGCATCGAAGGGTGTTTTCGGTGGAGCTCTGGCGTCGGAGATGAAAAGGATGGAGGCGAGTGCGGAAGATCTAGGTGTTCGTCGATTCATGCTGATCGGAGACAGAGAGGACGTGCTCGGTGGGTGCTAGCCTCGCGGTTTTGTCGGTGATGTAATAGATCTGTATTCTTTCTCTTCTATTCTTTTTCCTGTATAACAAAACAATAACAACATGCGATTCTGTTAATTTCTTCTTTTCAGGTTTGAACTTTAGAGATAATGGTGTCGAACTGTTGTGATAAAGACGGAAGGAGATCAGAATAGTGAGGATGTTTGTTGGAAGTTGTAGCAATCGGCATGAGTAGGAAGCGGAGAAAAGAGATCCGGAGGCGGACGATTGGTGTTGCGGACCGCATGTTCGCGTGAGTTTGTTGAACAAAGTAGTAGTTAGGCAGAGAGGGTTACAGAATCGGTGGTGGTTCGTTGGCGTTTATCGGAACGAAGATTGAAGAAGATGGCAAGCGATTGGCGATAGTAGATGGAGGATGCGAGCGACTGTATCGCGGAAGGATGCTTTGTGATTGCATCTCTTTCCCTCTATTTTTCCTGCAAAATCAATTGGTACAAGAATAATGGAAATAGTTATGGTGATTGCTGGTTTTCGGGGAATAATCTTGTTTAAGAACTTTTCCAGATTGTATCGCATGATGTTTTTGCCATGGTTGTTTAACATCATGAGCTAGTCTCTATACTTTATGTGCTACCGTCTATTTTTAGATGAAACAGGAATTGAGGGTGAAGTTAATAAACAGAATACTGAAATAGCATGAGTTTTTTTTTAATGAATGAAAATCAAATGAAAACAATAGGAAAGATTGTCGCCAAAGAGGTAGCTAGTGGTAATCATGAAAAATAGTTACTCTGTTTTCTTCTCTTGTCATTGATATAAAGTATAAAAAAATAGAACAATGTTAATAAAAAAACAGTAATAAAAAAATACCGATGATAAAAAGTGGTGGATGAAACTGGTTTCTGCAACATGTATATGAATGTCACCAAAAATCGTTAGTCTGACAAATATATACTAAATACGGTGTTAGCGTGTGTACTGTAACAAACAAAATCGTTAGTCTGACAAATATATACTAAATACGGTGTTAGCGTGTGTACTGTAACAAACATGGGAGGATAGAAAGTCGTATAAAAGTTTGTGTAAGAATTAGTAAAAAACTATAAAAGAAGATGAACAAATTTCCACTGTGAGTTAATGAGTGGAGAGAAAATATTTGCAATATAATTGATAGTGCAAAACATTATATGTAAAACTAATAAAATTGAAAATTAGAGGGAGGGGCCTCATATGGAATCATCGGCCAAAAATAGTTGTTATCTGATATAGACAACAATCCTAAATAAACTAACAATAAGAATTATAAGGAAAAAGCTTTTGTGGAAATTGTGAATGTTTCTTACTGAATTCTTGATGATCAATTAGGACAACAATGAGTCATATTTATAGAGTAAAATTGGGTTAAAAATTTGAAGAGAAAGCTAGTCCAAAGTGAATAAAAGGCCCAAATTAAATTTTATCTATTTATAACTTATTTTGACTATTTTTTTAATAAAATAAATATTTTACTAAAAAATAATATTTTTAAATTATAATAAATAATTAAATAATAGAAATATGATTTTTTGTGGTTTAGAAAATGAAAATAAAGTTAGTAACACCATAAATATCCAAAGTAAAAACTGTACAAACTGTGCTATGTTACTTATTCGCAAGAAAAAAGCCAATTGAAAGTATATGATAACGAATAATTATTTTCTATATTTTTTTTTACAAAAATAAAAATAATTATTATATTTTCAAACAGACTTGAAAGCAAATTTTTATTAAAAAAAACTCATAATGTTAATATAATTAAATCCAAGGAATTTTATATCTGTAACACTCAAATTCGAAAAATAAGTTTGACGGTAGCACTAAGGCGGGCAAATTTGGTGTATAACACGTTGTCGTCAGTAACATCTTACATTCATACATCATTTACAAAAAAAATCATAGCATGTGTATACGTAACACATACAACATTCTCATTTATTTTGAGAGCATCATTATGCAATGCATGCATCATGACATTGTATAAAATTAACTTTCATCTTTTATGGAAAAGTCCGCAAACACACAAAAATCACCAGCAAATTTCAAAAAGGTCAAAGATTAATTCCCGAAACAAGACGGGGCAACTATCTATACAACCAGGTGGTATGAATTCCTGAAATAGGAAGGGGTTACCAATACAAAAGCGGGTTAGAGATTAATTCCCGAAACAAGATGGGGCAAGTATTTATATGACCAGGTGGTATGAGTTCTCGAAATAGGACAGGTTTACCAATGAAGAACAGACTGCATATCAATTCCCGAAATAGGACGGGGCGACTATCTGCATGACCAAATGATTTCCCTCAGAGACTGAATTCTGAAAAGCATCTCCTTCAGGGCCTTCGTTCTGAAAAGCATTTTTCTTCGAAAATTTTCATTCCATCAGATCAAGTCGAGCATAGACTCATTCTATACTCCTATCAACAGTTACTCTGGATGGCATCTATAAGCCCATCTCCAATAACACTCTATCATCTACCTGAATGGAATCTTTAAGCCCATTCAAGCAATACTACCAATCAACAACGTTACTTCATGCACTGGCGAGTGCAAATTTCTGGACACTTAAGTGTTCAATCCTCTTCCACCTTCAGATCACGAATGGCGGACATGTCAATCTAACTCTTCAGGTTTAAGAAGATTGAACAAGAGCAGCTGTTGTACCCTAAAATTTTCCCTCCCATTTTCTTCAAGACACCTCCTCATGCTCCTAGGGTTTTCAATTGCTCAAGGCTACTCAATGTTTAATCAGACAAATTCTCCTCATAAGCAGTTGACCTACAACTAGGGTTTCATTTATCTCAAGGAAAATTGGACTTATATTGCCTCAAGTGGAGTTCACGGTTTCTCATATGTCTCTAAGAATGCTCATGCCAAAATTCAAGTCTTGCATCACAAGTTTGCTCAGTTAATTGATCAGAAGACTGAAAATCAACTATATTAGACAAAAAGTCAATTATGGTCAACATACAGTCAAACTTCAAGATTTTTGGGAAACATAAATATTTTGAAGTCACATTCATCATTTGATCAAGGTTTGATCATGATTCATCAAGAAAAACTCTCAATTCATCAAAAGTCAAAGTTGTCAAATTAGGGTTTTCTTAAAGAGAAGTCAACTAAACTTTGACCAAGCACAACTTTCACATGCTTCATCAAATTTTTCTCAACCAAAGATTATTTTGAAGGAAATTCAATTCTCTACAACTTTTCCTCTCTAAGCTCAGGTCCAAAAAGTGCTTCATTTGAGAGATATGGGCCAAAACATTATGGGTCATTTCAAAATTCAACAAAAAGACACTTTTTGTCAATGCAATTTACATTAAGATAAATTCTTCAAATGCAAAAATGATCAACATGGAGATTGTAAAGGACATCTTGAGCTTTCAAAAAGTCCAAGATCACCTTTATATGATAAAAATTGAGAGAGTTATGATTGATGCAAGTTGGGCAATTTTGAGAAAATGCATGAAATCTAAATTGAGCAAACTTGGAATTTTGGGCTAGTGTGCTGATCTTTCAAGGTCCATGTGTGTTATAGGCATCAATATGAACCCCATAACTTATTCATACACCCCTTGTATTTTTTATTCTATTTACTTTGATTTTATTTATTTAAATTCAAAATTAAATAAGATAAAATCAAGGCTTTTCTAACAAAGGTCCAAGTCCACTTGTTTGACCTACTTTCCTCTCTATATATTCTCATTCATTCAGACAAGACCAGGCACGAAACCCTTGCTCAAGAAATCTATCCAAAAACTTCAAAAAATATCAAAATTAGGGCAAATCAAAACCCTATCTTACATCATCCCTCAAGGCCACATACTTGTCCCATTCACTTCCAGAAGTTCTATAGGGTAAGATTGGATCCGTTGTAATGATCCAAAGCATGTGAAACCAGCATACATGTATCTCCGATTTTCATTATTTTTGCAAATTTGTATTTTCAATTTCATATTGTTTCAATGCATACTAACAATACTAACTTGCTTTTGAGATATCAATGTGCATATTAGACCCATCGCATGGCCCCCATAATGGCTAAATCAAAGGTTTCCATGTTTGCACCTTTTGATGTTGTTCACGTTGTATCTCATAATACAACAAGATTTAGCCTAAACTAAGGGTTCCATTGAAATCGCAAGGCCCAAATTAGGGGGGTAAGTACTTTTGAGCCACTAACACTCTTCATTTTTGCAGGTTGAAAAACATATTCACCGGAGAAGACGACCAGAGCTAGGGCTTCAGCGCTTCTCCGACCCAGTTATTTAAGTTTATCATATATTTAATTATTGTCACTGAATGACCGGATGAAACAGCCACCCCCGTGGAAAGGAAGCGCAAGTTAAGGCATTTGTTTACAAGGGCATGGGTTTGATCCTGTCTTTTGGCATTTTATTTTTCATATTTTCCATATTTTGCAGATTTTAACATATAACACATTGATTCCATCATACCAACACAAGCGCGCGCTTGGCGCAGTGGTAAGGCAAGCAGTGGAAAAGGCAAAGGGCGTGGGTTCAACACCCACCCCTGGTAGTTTTCATCATTTTTTTTTATATTTTTAACCCTTTTCCTTCATTTTTCTTCTCTTTAACCCTATTTTCACTTAACCATAAAAAAACAAAACCCTTTTTTTACAAACCCTAATTAAATAAGATTTTAGGTTTTTTAATTAATTTAATTAATTAATTCTTTTATTAATTAAAATTAATTAAATTTTTTAGGTTTTATTTTAATCATCATCAAAAATCATTCTTTTCATAAAAAATCACTAAATATATTTTTCGTTTATATTTTTATCTTACTTTTATTTTTCTTAGATCGACTGTATAAGTTTCACGAATGTAATAGTCTAGATTTTATTTTTCGCTCTCTTTTATTATCATGTAATTGCTTCAAGATGTAATAGTGGTAGGTTTTAATTTCCGCATTTTATTTTCTCGCAACTCTATTATGTATCTGCCCCAAAGCATTGTAATAGTTCTAGGTTTACGTTTCCACGCTTTATTCTTTCTACTACTATACTGCTATATTACTGCTTAGTAACTAGGATTATATGGAAAGATAAAAATGAACAATAGAAAACCCTAAACTTCAAAGATAAATAACTGAAAATAACACACTCGTACACTTGCACCACTAGGGTAACCTCCCTTGTTTCCTTTGGAATAAACAGTCATGTCCCTAAAAAATGGGGACGCATTAACAAAGACCCTCGAAAAAGATCATAGTCCCTCGATGACCCTTTAACATTGTCTTTCGATAAATGATTTAGTCCCTTATGAAATTGCTAAAGCGTCCTTACAAGTTGCCTTCGATGACTGTACGATAACCCTACGTACGTCCCTCCACATCCAACGATAGGGCTTCCTACTAATTAATAGTATGGATAACACTATCTAAAGGAGGAGGAAAAGTACAAGATCAACCTTGAGTGGGTAGAACTTTTAATCGCTTGCTTATAAAAAAACATTTTACACAGACACTTTCAAAGATATTTTCAAAACACTTTGTACGCATTCTTGAGGATCGATACAAGAATCGTTACAAAGTTCAAACTTCAA